TATTACGTGTTTGATAGAAAAATATTTATATTGGTTCGTGACGTCATAAACAAAAAAGTGGGAAAAATAAAACTATAAAATTAATAAAACTAAGAAAGTTTCACAGTTCTTTTCGTTTTTGACGTTGGTTAACACTATCTTGACTAAATTATTATTTGTAAAAAAATCTAAATTGGTGCTCCGCGTAGTTGACTATAATGAAAACATAATCTTATTTGCAAGTAATATGCTTGAGCTCAGTAAAAAATATCTGTATTCGATTAGTGTGTAAGTATAAATTTATTGGCAAGAGAGTATCAAGAGTACATCTAATATGAAGTGGCTTAATCTACCTCCAAAATTTCTATGAATCGTTTTCAACACATATACATACATACATGTGTACCATGAGAGCTGATTTCATTTCGAAAAAAAAATTCTGTTATTTATTCAATACGCAAAAAAAAATTAGTCAGCGCTACGGCGGCTCCACCTCAAGAGGTTATCAAATTTTTACTCATTATGTGTTAATTGCACATTTAACAACTGTTCGCAAAATTAACATACGGTTATATATGTACGTGTCTGTATGTGTATCATTAAATGGCAGCATGAAATTGAAGCGGGAATAAACACGTTTGGAAATTTTCCTAATATGAGGGCTTGACTTAAAATTAAAACATTATGTATAACTATTACATACGCTTTTATATGCTTTTATACATTATATTTTATGTGCTTATACACATGTATATGTATATATAATATACATATGGATGTGTGTAGATGTCAGAGAACAGTTGCGAAATAAAATCCATCGCACCATTCAATAAATTCAATAATTTTTCCATGCTTAATCTATTTTAAGAGGCGTGCTGTGCACATATGTAAATATGTATTGACATAGCTAATGATAACAATAAACTGCTAATCCATTTTGTAAATAATCGAACGCCCTTTAACAGCGCTCTAAAATAGAAAAGGTCGTCATTCAATAAGGCGCCATTTCTAATCGAACTTCCAGATAACCTTCAAATAAACAAGTGCAAGTTAAGTAAATAGGGTTCAATTTTGGATGGAACCGCTTATTGTTCATTCGAAGGACTTCAATTTAGAGACTTGCTTTTAAAGGGTAATTAGCATGATATTAGTGTATTCTGTGACGATCTAAACATTATCTAAGCCTTATACATAATATAACTAGTGCCCTCAGTCGAGTATCTGTGGTATAATCGATATTTTATTGCGTCTAAGCGCAAATTGTCCATAGCAAATTATGGCATTAGAGCAATAATTGAGTCTTCGTTCCATATTTTTATACTCTTGCAACCTGTACACCTGTACCTGTACTTGTCGGCTACAGAGTATAATAGTTTTGTTCATCTAAAGGTTGTTTGTATCACCTAAAACTAATCGAGTTAGATATAGGGTTATATATATATAAATGATCAGGATGAAGAGACGAGTTGAAATCCGGGTGACTGTCTGTCCGTCCGTCCGTCTGTCCGTCCGTGCAAGCTCTAACTTGAGTAAAAATTGAGATATCTTTATGAAACTTGGTAGACATGTTTCTTGGTATCGTGAGACGGTTGGTATTGCAGATGGACGTAATCGGACCACTGCCACGCCCACAAAACGCCATTAATCAAAAACAAATAAATTGCCATAACTAAGCTCCGCAATAAGATACAAGACTGTTATTTGGTACACAGGATCACATTAGAGAGGGGCATCTGCAGTTAAAATTTCTTTTTTAAGTGGGCGTGGTCCCGCCTCTAATAGGTTTAATGTGCATATCTCCTAATTATTAGTTTTTATTGTATTGATAAGATATACGGGCTTACTTTATTGAGTACCTTTCAATCAATGAGAACTGCTATTAGGGTTTAGGTTCCATCTAAGAGACATTCTTTCCATTTTATTTTTTAATTTAATTTCATTTACAACTTATCACAAACAAATGATTGGTTAGAAGAATGACGATTATTTGCCACCACCAAGCAAAGCAATTTACCCTAATCAACTCAAGACTCTTTTCTGCGGTTCTTTTACAAACATTTTAACCAAAGTAAGATTTTATTGATGCCTCCCAAAAATATCTCCTTTTCACGAACTTTCTCAGTTATTTGCGCAGAGCAACAATATTTTCTGACACCATAACTGATTAGCTCTTCACAAAATTATTTATTGAACGGACAGCGATCACGTAAAACTTCATTGTACTGATGCAATATAATTGCGTCTGACAATATCGGTAGTGCCCATGGCAAGAAAAATACACTGTAACCCACGTATAAATACATCTCACATATGCACATATAATTCTTGTGGAGGCGCATCTAGTCCGGAAGCTCAATATAGTAGTATTTTCTAAAATTCAGTGAAGATCATTCGATTAAAAAAAACAGTGCTTAACATAAAAACAATGTCAGCGATTGATCCTCGTTAATATTTTATTTGTTTTGCATTGAAAGCTTCTTCGTGCGGGTATATTTTAATTAGTTATCAATATAGTATAATGTTTTCTTATTCGTGCGCATATAATTTCATGTCATGCAATAAATACGTAAATATATATTATTATACACATACATACATATGTGTGTATAAGCAAACAAAACAAGAAAAAACGTTAACTTCGGTTGCGCCGAAGCTATAATACCCTTCACAAAAACAAAGGCCCCTTACAAGAACTTGATTCCGAACGTTCAATTTGTATGGCAGCTATATGATATAGTGATCTGATCTGACCAATTTCTGTGGAGAATAATTTGTTGCCTTAAGCAATAACTCGTGCCTAATTTCGCGAAGATACCTCGTCAAATATCGCCGATCGTTCAGTTAATATGGCAGCTATATGCTATAGTCATCCGATCCATACAATTTCTTCGGAGATTAGATTAATGCTTTAAATAATAATACATGCCAAATTTCGTGAAGATACCTCGTCAAATGAAAGACTTTTCCATACAAGCACTTGATTCCGATTGTTCAGTTTGTATGGCAGCTATATGCTATAGTGGTCCGATATCGGCCGTTCCGACAAATGAGCAGCTTCTTGGGGAGAAAAAGAAGTGTTCAAAATTTCAGATCGATATCTCAAAAACTGAGGGACTAGTTCGCGTATATACAGACGGACAAACGGACAGACGGACGGACGGACAGACAGACGGACATGGCTAAATCAACTCTGCTCGTCACAGTGATCATTTATATATACACTTTATATGGTCTCCGACGTTTCCTTCTGGGTGTTACAAACTTCGTGGCAAAATTAATATAACCTGTTCAGGGTATAATGAAGTAGACGACGCCCTCAATTACGTCAAAGAGATTAGCGCCACCATTAAAGCGTTACCTCCAGACATGAGTATGTATGTAACATATGTACATATATGTATGTACGTATGTATATCTGGATGTAGTTCAAGTGAATTATCATAAAAAGCTTTGTACGCTTCAATATAATAACTATGGTATACATACATACACGTAAATAATGGTAATGTAAACATTTTATAAAAATAGCTACGATTTTCGTAGTAGTGATAAGCGCATTGATATACAGTTACGAGCTGTACGAGTGCGTTAAGTCGATAAATACTATAAGTAGAAGAGGAGTATCTTACAACTAAGTAAATATTTAAAATTTTTATGTGTGTATGTATGTATATGAAGTTACTACATATGTGTTTATCATAAATAAATATTTTGTGTGAAGTTCTTAACTAAAGTAGCTTGTTTTCGAATCGAGTTTTTAAGTGGTCAATGCGTGTATGTTATGCGTTTGATGACACCCGGTTAGATTCGTGGAACTCACTACTTTCCTCATTGTTCCCAATCTCATTGCAAACTTTATTCGGAATTTTTAAACCGGTGCAATGAAATGAACGGAATCTTTCTGTGCCTCCCCGAGCCCTCATATTTTATATTTTACGGAACGTTATCCCTCTCTATGATTTACTTTCTATTATATTTATTGCTGAGTATCTGAAAAGTCTTTATTAAATTACGTGAATATAAATTATTTAACAAAACCTGATTTAGTTACAAAAATGAAAGAAATCAGATGATACTCTTGAATCCCCATACACCTTATAATATGATTTCAAATCCTGTAGTGCACTTTTTGGTCGGCTGATTCAAGAGATAGCTTAACAACAACATGATAATATTTCGCTTTGCTTAATGTTATTGGTAGTAAAAATTTATGAAATCGGTTAATATATTTCTTAGGCCCCAACCTACCGAATATATTTGGTTCTATCAGTCCGCTTTTAAATGTGAACTGTAGAATGAGCTAATCTGGTAGCAAAAAATGTCGAAACCATGAATTAAGTGGGCACTGGAATTATAGAAAATGTGTGTAGATACATTCAATAGGACCATTACTGATTCTTACGTTCTTAATACGTTAGTAACGGGAAAATATCAGTGTTTATCATACCAAGATTGTTTGCAAAATTCAGTGAAAACCCGGATAAATGGAATTACTTTTAAGGCAAGTAATGAGATAATTTCGGGTGTAGCCGAGCAATATGCATAATTAATAATTTATATGGTTTAATGAATTTTGAAATTTTTCAGTGTGCTTGATAAAGGATATTTTGAGAACTTAAGCGTTTCATGTTTGGGAACTTGAGGATATAATTCAATTTTCGGAACCACATTACACTGTACTAACATTTATTTCAATTATTAATCGATGAAGACGCCCTAAATTTGTACGCCGGTATTGAAGTTTTTATATTCAGTTTGTTTTGAAAAAAAGTTGCCATATATTGAGTTTGCTATATGGTTTAAAACGGCGTTATATGGGAAGTAGGCGTGTAACCATAGGCCTATCTCTCCAAATTTGGGCTGCTCTAAGAAGGCACTAGGAGAGTGTTTCGTAGCAAATTTATATAAAAACGGTCCAACAGCTTGGTAAATGTGTCGTTTAAGGTATAGTAAAGTATTTAACTAAATTATATGTAAACTCTCGAAAACACTCTTGCCATGAAATTGATCGTTTCTGGGCATTTTTACGTCTTCTCATGCACTTATACATATGTATAATTTTTATAAATCAAAAATTTTTCAATTTCTTATTATTACTTTTATATTTTAACTTTTAACTTTCACTTTCACACTAAAAGAGAGCGGATGACGCAGGAGTATGCGATTAGCCAGCGGAACTTACAACATCTCTGCGGACGGATCAAAAATAGCTAATGAAGTGGGAGCCAGAATTTATTGCTCATAGCTGGATAAGGTCGTAGGTGAGCCGTCAAGCTTCCGTAATACTGCAGTATCTTGCAGGAAGTCTTTGCGGTCAGGAAAGTGGCTTAGACAGCTTATATATATAATAAACATCAAGAAGATCAATATATATGTACGTCGATAGCCAGGTGGTAATTAAAGCAATAATCTCACATCGCATTACGTATGTGAATGTCCTTGGAAGCAAGGAGGCATACAAAAGAATTCCGGGAAACGAAATAGCTGATGTGATTGCCAAAAGTGCTATCAGTCTGGCTACTGAGTACCAGTATTCGAAATACGGAAGTCACTAAAAACTGTGATATACAGTGAAATTTCCTAAGTGGCTGACAGACGGATCAAGGCGACATGTTGGCGTAATGACAGGTCACAATCTACTATCATCAAATGCAAGCCGTATGTGCATTATTAAGTGCAGGAAAGTAGGCATAAGAGAGACGCTGGAGCCTATGTTTCTGAATTGGAGTTCAAGGGACTAGATGAAGTGTCAAAATTAGTCGTATACCGAATACTTCAGCTCAAATTAAACTGAACCTCCATCTGGCATTAGGCCAGTAGGTCTATGTATGGCGTGTAAACCGGCCAGTATAACCCAAACTAACCTTTACTAATTTTGAGTTTTCTATAATAACATTTTTTTAAAAATATTTTCAATATATACATATATACTAATTTATATAAGGTATTCGTTATATTTTTATATATGTACGTTTATGCTATCAGTAATTGTAAATTACTGTTGGAGGTGTGCGATAAATCTGTACTTCTGTACTGCCACATGTATGTATGTATATATATATATATATGGTATACTATATAAACAGATATTGACTTTCGAGTGACAAGCCCTTGAAATCTTAACATGTGAACTGACTGGAATCACGTACAACTATTTCCTCGCTATTTCTGAACGCCGTTCAACAGCATCGCTTCGCCGGCGACCCGCCCACTTTCCAAACACGATTGACAACACATGCAAATTGAAACTAACGTAATCGGTAAATATGATTAGATTACATATTATATGGACTCGAGTTTGAACTTTATTTGAATTTTAAAATTGCTTGTAAAAATGAAATTGGCAAGTTTTATTTACAAATTTCGTTCTGTTGATTACTTAAGTATACAGTGTTATACTCGTATACTGACGTTTGCAAACGTAAGTATATATTTATAATGATTTCACCAGTAAACAAAAACGTGTTTTTTTAGTAAACAAACATTTCATGTTACAAAGTCAAAACGGCAAAGAGATTAAATCGCTCGAAAAATGTGCCAATTTTTAACCATAATACTTACTTAATCGATTTCAGCAAAGCAAATTATGTGATTTCAGTTGCACCGATCAAATGTTGACTATCCGCCGAGTAAAATGTAAATGACATACGGGCTCGTTTATATAAATATTTCCCCGAAAACATACTACTTAAACTTGTTTCAAGTTGATTTTGAACAACATTCTCAAATATACATATGTATGTAAGTCTAGAGAAACTGATAATATTGAAAAGGTTTTGAAATATAGATCTTCAGTTAATATCCTACAACTGGTAGCAAATTGAAATTAAACTGAAATTCACCAAAATGGGAAATTAAGAGAGGTTTTCGATTTATGCGCTAAACCGAACTATCCGAGCTCCATTGAAAAATTCCATAATACTTAGAAAGAAACCCAGTAGTTTTGAAAGCCATCATGGAAGAAGAATTAAGGGCTACGATTACATGACAGCTATGATGAATTTCTGTTGAAATAAGAAAAAGGCGAATCGGAGGTGGGACCAACTTTATCAACTTAAGAAGAAGAACCAAGAAGATATGAAAGAAATTGATTATGGTGTAAAGAATATTGCAAAAAAAAAGCGAAAAACTTATTCAGAAGTATTGGTTTACGCTAAAAATAAATAAAAAATTACTATATCGAACATAAAATCAATATTTGTTTTTACAAACTTCACTTGTAGTCCCTCCACACCCCGCCTCTTAAGCAAAATATGTTCGAACTATATACCAGTCCATGGGAAATCTCGTAGTATAACTCTGCAGCACCGATGCATTAATTGGTAGGTCAATCTAAAATCGGTTAGAATGTTCCATACATTAGAAAAAAATATGGCGATGTTAGGTATTCGTGAATGATTCTATTTTCATTGAGTCTACTTTATTATTTAGAATCATTCAAAATAAACTCGAGATATTATGGAGGAATAATTAATAAAACACATTTTTAAAAAACTCGCGATTCAGGTTTCAGCTTAGTGATCCGATCGTCTGTTTCGAGAAAGTGTCATATCTTTATAACCACTATTAGAAATGCAAAATAACACTGAAAGTTTGATATTCTAGAGAAATACTTACTTATGTGAGTGTATGAATCAAAATCTCGTTCGAACACAGTGTACGAGAAAAATAGGAATATATTAGGTCTATCTCTTTACATTAAGGGCTGAAACTACATTTCAACCTAACCCTGAAAGGTGTTACCCATTTTGGTTGGATCAACTGTTTTTATACCTTGAACAGGGTTTGTAACACTCAGTAGGAAACGTCGAAGGCCCTATAATTAAATTTCTTATGTATGTAAATGATCAGCTACAGCTGAGTCGCTCCCCGTGCTGTAGGAGTCTGCCTCCGCAATCTCATATAGTGGCGTCGCCAAACAATACCACAGTCGACAACCGCTCATGCAGATAATACAGCTGCAACAACCACCACCTCCCTCATTCCCAGAATCACAACCGGACACCCGCGATAAACTCGAATTCTACAATTTAACTGCAACGGACTCTAGAGTAAGATCGAGGAGATAGTTGCCTCTATGAGCCGGGAACGCGTATCGATAGCTGCGGTCCAAGAAACCGAGTTAAACAGCCGCTCAGATCTTCTGAGTTGTGCAGGTTTCAACGTACCTTTATTAGCTTTAACAAAGCTAACTGGGTCGCCTTCACAGAATTTACTGAGAGCACCTTGAACGCACTACCCATTCCCACGGACGTCATCGTTGGCGAGCGTCAATTCCGCAAAGTGATCGCTGCTGCTACTGCTCGCTTCATATCGGCTGGAAGAATCGCGGAACTCCGCCCTAATTTCCCAGCCGAAGCAGCTGTATTAGCAAACGAGAGCGACACCTTACGCTATGCCGATCCCTGTGATCCCCGAATAAGGGATCTCAATTTGGAGATTCGGCAAAAGGTAAATCAACGGACAAAATGGATAGAGCACCTGAAGTCTGAAATCTCTCCACCGTTGTGAGTAAGCTTTGGACTACCGTCAAGGCCATGATTAATCCGAGAAGACTTGACGACCGGTTGAAATTCAATTCGATGGCCATACCTCCTCTGACCCGAAGAAGTACGCAAGCTATTTTAGCCGGCAGATTACACTGTACCCTTCGACCGACAAGGCCAAACGATGTGTTACCCGACGGCTGCGCAAAATGCCAAAAGACTGCGCACCACTTACTTTCACAAATGGGGAAGTTCAGAGTGTTATCAAAAAGGTCGTTTAAATCCATTGGCCCTGACGGAATAACCATGCTGATGGTAAAACATCTAGGCTCGACGGAAGTAAGCTACCTCACCAAGGTCCTCAACTTGTCGATGTCCACTCTTCAAATACCCGATGTGTGGAAAGTCGGAATAGTGGTCCCACTATGCTTCCGGTTAAGGAACATAATGAGCTCCTATTCAAGCAGTTTCTGCTGGGGTGTTTTCGCAGAAAGCGGAACCGCCTCCTAGGAACATCAAGAGGTCCTTCCTTGATTACGTCGACGAAATCAGACAGTACGCCGACCGGACTTCGGACGCAACGAACTTCAGACAGGCACTGACCGCCATTCACAGTGGAGCCACCAACACCTTCACCGACTCCCTCTCAGTGAATGGCGTACTAGGAGTCAAATCACCACCCATAGCAGACGTAGAGCTCGAATTGCCTCGCGAAACCAGAGTGACCCTCGCGCAACTTCGTTCTGGATATTGTAGCAGGTTAAACTCCTACTTATTCAGAATAGACCCCGACCTTCCAAACATATGTCCTGCGTCCAATGAGTCTCCGCCTGATACTAACTACCTCTTTGCAGGCCCAACTCATCTAACACTTTTCCCTATGGTCCGACCACGTCGAAACAACTTGTTTCTTGAACCTCCCGTTAGATGACCTCGACGACAACCAAACTATAACTTATCATCCAAGCGAGGACTAGATAACCGTTACAACAGCAACAACGAAACTTGGTATGCATTATTGTCTAAGGTAATGGTCTAACTTCGAAGAAATTGTTTAGATCTGATCACTATAGCATACATATATTTTAGCTACCACACAAACTAAACGATCGTAGTGGGAGTTTGACGAGATTTCGCCAAAAAATTCGGCATCGGTTATTGTCTAAGATAATGGTGCAATCTCCGAAGAAATTGTAATTCTTGTGAGGATTATTTTGTAATTGTTGAGTGTACTATAATCGGTGCAATTGAAGTTAACGTTTTTTTCTTGTTTTGATTTCTATGGTAACTCTAATTTCACTTTTACTTTTAAGTTGAATTCGCAGAGAATTCTTCGGGATTGGTTGCACAATTGTTATTGCAAAGCGCTATTTGCTCGAAACGTATGTATGTTTTGCTGACAGCGGCAACCAAACCGGGTGCACATACATACAGGCATATGTATATGGACTTTGCACCCAGCTATCGCAAATAGTTGTTGCTGGGCTTGCATTTCCCAGTAGAAAAGATAAATTGTGGGTGTGCAAATGAAGAGCGCCAAAGCACAACAAATAAAAGAGAGCAAGTGATCGCAGTGGCGGACAGTAAATACTTTTATACATATGTATATATGATGCGGTGGAATAAAAGGGAGCGTTCGGGCTAATTATCGCAATACTCGAAAAAAAGCTCGTATGTGTATGTGTGTGTTTGCGGCGCATATGCACTTTAAAAGATATGCGTATGTGTCCCTAAATAAGAGCAAATGGACATTGCTTTGTTTGAGATATGGACCAAGCCTTGTTGTGCCTCTCCAATGGTACGGTTATTCAACCTTATGCCAAGAAACTGGCATATTTCATCAGCAATTTTAATTGCAAGTTCATTTGTAAATATAGCAACGAAAGATAAAATTACACATTTGTGTACGAAAGTAATCGTTTTACCCTTTTAATTTGTTTGTAGATATGTATGTGTAAGTGGGTGCTTAATTTAAAAATTTTCATTGCGCAGGTCTTCAGCTTTTTTGCATAAATATCGTAAATTCGCAAATATTTTAATTTCGTATTTTAAGATCTACACTTTGAAGCCTGTTTATGTGCTTTTGATATTGTTTTTGTTATAGTTATTGTTGCGCTTTAGCAGGCTGCTGCTTGTTGTTGTTATTGCATGCGTATGGCTTCAACTTAAGCTGCGTATGCTTTCAGCAGCAGTAAAAAAAAACAAAAACAAAGGCAAACCCAAAAACAAAAACAATAATAATAACAATGCCAACAACAACGATGGAAGTAGAAGTAGACACTGCGATCCGCTTCCTCCTAAATCTGTTCGGTATATGTTTGAACAACAACAACAATGACAATAATCCCAATAACAGCAACAACAACAAAAACCAAACCAGCAAAAGTACCCGATTATTGTGCCCCACTGCCTCTCTGATTTGATCTACACTAAAGAAGCGAATCAGAAGTAGACGATTATTTTGACCGCCTTCTTCACCAACTGATACATACTTATGCATGTATAATAATATAACATTATATTTGCTAAATTAACTGCCGTCGAACGAGGTCAACGACTAAAATTATTTCACCTCACGCTCGGGTGGGCTGAATGCGTCGCTGCGTATTTATTCATTCGCGTAACGTGCAAAAATTTTTCAAGTGCAACGTTCCTTCGCGAACAAATAAATCTTAAGTTCGTAAATTTTCGGCATTACGTTACTTTTCGACCGTCATGCTGCCGCTGGTTACTGACCCCATTGTTGACATGCTGCCGCAACCGCCAAAACCGTTACAGGTGCTGGTGCTGGTGCTGCCTTTTCAATTTTCGCTTTTCGCTTTTACTCTTCGTTGTGTGCGTTCTGCGTGCTGTTTCGCACAAGTTCAGCGTTCTAAGGATTTTGTTGAGGGGGTTCGTGCAAGCAAGTGCAACACCCTTTCAGGGATGCCCGCTCACAGCTGAGCCCCGAGGTCACTGCCTTGCCTTGCTAGCCGGCCTGGCTGCGGAAGGTGATTGGCCCCACTATGGCCTGTGCGCTAATTTTTCGTCGACATATACATATGTACTTATGTATATGATTGTGTGTAATGTGCGAAATGTTTTGAAGACGGTCAGCTAACTCTGGGCGTTCAATGAAATTCTCAAATGTCAATGTTATAATTTCGGTCGTTCGCTTTTGCTGATCCGTAGTGAAAGTTCAAAGGCTTTTCGTACCCGGTAGTGGGGTAGCTTCCTAATTTGTTTAAAATATTGTTGTATTTACTGCATGAATGAAACCGCAACGCCATATAAATAACATAAATATGTGAAATATCAGGCTATTAGCTTATCGGAATTTTTTATCGCTTTCAAAAGTATTCTTGATATACCTATGTACGTATATGTGCATATACATATATACACATTTGTAAAATTTTTATCTGACTTTCGGAGATAACAATTGCTTACGAGGAAAAGCCCGTAACCAAATTATGGTTTCTATTCACAAAAAATACACCTGTCGCCAAATTGTGAAAAATCATGTGCGCGTGCAATCAAATCAATCAGAATGAACTCTAGAAGAGTGTCGTGCTCCTGGGGATGCATGCCTTAAGCAACATTATTTTATTGTGCTGTAGTTGTTTGAAAGGAACTAGAAGTTACCAAGAATATAAAGACACATTGAAAAATATTTGCTTTAATTGAATATTTTGAGCCGAATATACCAAAAACCTGATTAATCAG